TTGATCATGGAACATACACAGATATGACTCTGTTGCAAAACATACCACAATGTTGGGACCCAACCCACCAAGTCACCATGCCACACAATGCTCCTATTGCATCTTTCTTTTGCTGGCTGGTGGAGCTTTATCCCTGACTGGAAAGTGGAGCCCCTCTAGCATTCTTGAAAGAAGAAACATGGCAAGGCATGCTTGTCAATTGTGGCACAAGGCTTAGCTGCAACAAACTTGGTTGTGTCACACTAGAAAAACTGTACCAGTATGTTGGCAACATCATGGGGGTCCTCTCCTGTGTGCCTCACACTCTCAGATGCTTCTGCCAATCTCTTGACCTCTCTCACACAAGCACTGCCCAGCTGTTGAGGGACCTGGCCAAGAAGTCTGATGCCCTCTTCAATATAAGCTTGGACTGGACTTACACTTTCTTGGTTGCCAATATTCATATTGAGACTTCATATGGCCATGTCAAGGGCTCTCCATTGCCAGGAGTGCTCAATGACCAGCCTATCACTAGCAGAACTTGCACTTCTCCGACCAGAGAGGCTGAAGAGATTGACACCAATGAAATCAGCCTTATGCAAGCCCCACCTCAGAGGGACTGTGACATTTTCTATGGGGAAATGGGGGGTGACAGAGATGGCCAGGGTATTTGCTATTGAGAAGATCCTGACAAGGGGACAATGAAGCAGATGAAGGAGGAAGAGATGGAGAGGCAGTGGAAGCAAGCACAAGTGACATTGAGGAGGGAGATGCAAAAGGAGAAGAAGATGGAATGTCAGAGCTTGCAAGCACTGGTGCACATTTCCCCAAGCAGTGACACCTGAAAGAGACAAACATCTGGGTTGCCAGCACATCCCAAGATTTCCAGGTGGATCTTGAAGAGATGCAATTGCCCATGTGGGTCCCATCTTTTGGCATGCTGGATGTAATGCAAGGCTTCACACCCTTGCCTCTGGTCCTTCACAGCCAAGAGCCAGAAGAAACTCTGCCACAGGTCCTTGGGAAAAGAGGCCAACCCCAGATTGAATTGGTTCCTACCACTTTTGCCCAATCTGACCCTGCAGAGGAGGCACTCCTCTCCCATCTCAAGTCTCACCAGAATGCTGGGATACAGGATCTCCACCTGGGCTCTGGTTGTCAGAAGGGACTTGCCTCAATGTGCAGCCGGTAGCTCAGCTCCTGGTTGTTCCAGCAGGCTCAAGTGTTGGTGCTTGGGAGAGATGTCTGTGCCCACATGTTAGCCAAACTTGTTGGTAAGGGGAGCATTGCAGAAGCAACCCTCATGAACAATTATGTTGCCTATGCCAATCTGCAGAAGATTTGGCTCAAGCACAAAGGTGATTATCAAGGTTGCTATGTTGTCCTGAAGCAGTCAATGGACTAGAGCACCACAGAGAAGCTCAAGAAATTTGGAGGACTCACTGATGGTGGAGATTGTGAGAAATGGTGGACTGCAGAAGCTCAAGCTGGATAAGGGTATGACACTCAGTTAGCTTCACAAGGACATTGCATGATGTTTTGAACTCAGCAATCTTGAAAGTGTCCAGCATTATCTAGAAGGACTTGCTCAAGGGGTCAAGGTATTGGAGAAGGCCTTGCTCGCTACCAGCCCCCCCTTGATTCCAAGAGACAAGGAACCAATCTTGCATGCCATCTGTGCTGCACATTCAAGTTTCAAGCTCAAATCTGACATTTGAATGCCTCTTCGAATGGCATCTCAAACTCAGCTGGACCAGACTATTGGAAGCCAGAAGTGGACCCTAGACATAGCATTAGGTAATGTAGATTACACATAGATTAGTAGTAGTCCAAAGGTCTGAACCACTCTGAACATATATAGGTGGACTTAGATACTTCAGATAGGGATCTTGACTTGGACTCCTCTCTTACTTACTGTCAACTGCACCTGTTCAAAACGGGTATCTCTCTAACTTACAACTAATACTACTGCTTTACTTTAAAGTCACTCCTTGCTCTAGCTCCCTCTTAGACTGATCTGAGCCTCAATTTGACTGCTCAACCTTTGGAAGCCACCCCCATTCACCTCATATGGCTCATTCCCCTTCCATTCCTTGTTTGGACCCCCTTCAGACTGCTGCAACAGGCCTCAGAACTCTCACAAGACTCTTCAGATTTGCATTTGAGTGGCTCTACTGTAGGAGGCTATGATTTGATTAGGTCAGATTCTGTCTGCTACTACCTACTATGATGTACAGGTCACCACTGTCATCTCCCCCTCCAGCAGACCTTCTCCTGATGCCTCATTGGGAGGTGTAGAGTACATTTGGTGACTGACATAGGATTTTTTGAATAAATTCTGGTTGGGGAGAAAACTTGGGGCATTCAGTTATGGATCAAGTGGTCTGCCTAAGTGACCATCAAACTGACCACCCAAAGCAGGGCACAGTTCCGAAACCAGAAACCAAAACCTCAGCCCTCAGAGTCTACCCCTGCCCATTCTAAAGATCTGCCTCCATCAGAAAGCTAATCCAACTTGTCCACTGACCCAAGACAGATGCCATATATGACTATGGAATTGATCTGGGAAGAAGTCAAACCAACAAGCCTACCCTCAGATATCAAACACGCACTTGAAAACCTCACAATCACCATGCCAGATCCAGTGATGCCACTTTGAATGAGCAAGCATGCTCCAATGCTGCTCTCTGCTTGGCCAGAACATGTCATCAGATTTCTCAACAATGTGGAACAACTGTGCAAAAGTTGCAAGGTTCTGCCAGAGCAATGGGTAAAATATTGCCTCATATATGTCAACATGGAAGTCTTTCAGGTATGGGACATGGCAGAAGAAAGTCATGCAGCAAGTCCAAAGTATGACAAGTTCCGAAAGCAGATTCTAGCTTTCTATCCAGGAGCTACAGATTCGAGCCGGCTATATTTGAGACTCAACCTGGAAAAACTTGTTTTGAAGAGTGCAGCCCTTCCCATGGACAGCAGGGCTCAGTTCAGAGAATACCAATGGCAGTTTTTGAGAGTATCCCAGTGGCTGGTTTGGAAGGAATACCTTTCAAAGACTGAGCAACAACAGATGTTCATGCAAGGATTCCATTACAAATTTCAGGAAAACTTTGATCAAGGCTTCTCTCAAAATACCCCGATTCAGTGCCCAATGATCCTTGGCCCTTGGACAACACAGTTACGATGGCCATGCTCCTACTGGTGAACACCCTGGCAAGTGGAGAGATTATTTCTCTCAATCCTGGAATGGCAGCCATCTTGGTCAAATCGGAAAGGGAAGTGGCTTTAGCTTGAATCAAGAATTTGATTCCAAACATCAAGGTGGAAGTGAACCTGAACATACAGGAATGCATGCTAGAGGTACTTACCCAGCTCAAGGAAAAGTTCAAAACAATGGCTACCAGAGCAACTTATAATACAAACCATTCAAACAACTGGTGTCAGAGCTCAAATCAATGGCAAGGCAGAAATCAAGCTTTGAACAATGATGGGAACAGTCAGAATGGATGCCTATGGTGTGGAGTGCTGGATCACTTCATGAGGGAGTGTTCTCCTCTTGAGGAGAGCCTTCAAACCAGTATGTTATTCAGAACTCCCAGAACAAGATAACACTTCCGGATGGAGTGCCGATTCCTTCATGGCCTCCTGGGGCACTGAGAGACCATGTTTGTGCATGGTATGCCAGAAATGCTGATCCAACCCAAAAGGTGTCCAAAATAATGGTCCAATGGGTGGTGTGCAAAAACTCACAAGGGAAAGAGGGGAGAGATGGGGAAAAATTGGTAGAAATGCCAGAGTCAGCCTGAAGCTGAGCTGTCAGAAATTGGTTGGTAAATCAGAGCTCAGTGTCTGTCTAGTCAAGTGTCACAATAAGTCAAGTCAAGTACACTGAGTCAAGTCAAATCTGCCTATCCAGCAAGGGGATAATTGGATCCATATAATGCTATTGGAAAAGGGGCAGAATAAGCTAGATACAGGAGTTTCTGGAAACTACTTATACTAGCTACTAAAAACCATACTCTATACTAATCTGGTCTCTGGATACCTCTCCTAGGCAGGCATTGGCATGCTGAATATCCGTGTGGGTCAATCCCATTGCAGAGGAAACCTGCTGTCATCATCCAGGTGGTCCTGTTGCCTGGGGAATCCTAGTAGTTGCCATACCAAATATCCAGGGGGGGTTGAGACTCATTGCCAGGGTGCATTGTCCATGTAGTGAGGTCCTGTAGTGCTTTGCAATGGTCTCTAAGGCCTGAAAATAGCCATGGGAATACCTGCCTGACACACCCTGCCAGAGGTGGGGTTGTTCAGTGGAGCACCTACCCTATTCCTGGGACCTTGGGACCAGGTCTTACAGGCAAAAATTACATCATTTTGGTCCTGTTGTGCTGTGCAGAAGCACATCATGTGACTGTTACTGCCAGTTCATCTTGAACTGAATGCAGGGTGGGAGGGGGGGGGGGGGGTGGCAGGAACTGCACAGAACAGTGGACTATACAATGCTGATACTGTACATTACAAGAATACAAGTAGTATCATCATGTGCCCAAGGTCCCAGGTCTGCACGGAGCGCCTACCCTATTTTTAACACATGCCGCGGGCGGGACCAAAGTACCAACATAAGCAGAGTGGCAACGGACTGAATATAAGTGAAATTAAAGTTGATCCACTCACGGTACATGTTCTCGCTGAAGGAGAAACAGGAAACAAGGGAACGGGAGCCGCTGATCGGATCATCAAATGTCTCAGCACCATCACCATCACTGAATCACCAAATCGATTACAGAAGCTGATCCAGATCGGAGTGCCGGATTGGAGTATGCTTCGATCAGGGATTCATTGCCCTTTACACACATACGTGTGTACACGTGGATAATGAATGGTATACAGATCGCAATAAAAAAGAATACAACAATATGGGGTTTGTCTCTCGTCCATAACAAGAATTATCATTTACCAGGCGGTGAAGGGAAAGGTTCAGGCCAACTTCAACATCCCTCCTAAGCCCATCTCAGGGGACTTCAGGAGCTTGGCACTCCGTGGGAGTGCATGTCCGGCATCTGAATCGCAGATCAACAATGATTAACCCCCTCCCATAAACTAAGAACGTACCACCGCGTCCCCCTCCTCGACTACAGGTTCCAGCACCGTGCCCCTATACTTTTTGACCTCTTTCGCGGACGTTTTAGCAGAGGCACCGTGACGGAAGGGACGGTGAGGATACAAGACGCGCAGGTTTTGGGATGTGCGCAGGGCGGTTCGCATGTTGAGTTCGGTGTGGGGATGTCGGAAAGGCGAGGGCTCATATAGCTCCGATCATGGTGGACGAGACGATGATGTCATTGATGAGCACGCACGTGGTTCATAGCGCCGGACGTCCCTGAGCCGAAGAAATGTGCGGCGTCTCCGGCTACTTCGTTCATTTCTGCACTCAAGGGTTATGACAACTCGAATATCAATAGGACTTACTCTACATGCATGTAGGCGACATATGCTAGCAGGGCGGCATATCTCGATCACCCAAAAAGCTGTGGCGCTCTTGTCCTTGCCCCCTTTGGCCCTGGTGCGCCGACCTTACTGGCCGCGAGCTGTCCGACAACCAGGACTCGCCCACCTGCATACATCTCACACTCTCCGATATCTCCCTCCACCACCGAAAACACCCCCAGAAGAGAAGCCCTCCTCCGACGTATCCTCGCCTACCTCCCCCGCTGATCCGCCCACACAACACGAAAACATCTACACGCTCCCCAACCTTCTCACCACTTCCCGCATACTCGCCTGTCCCGTCCTAGGCTACGCGATCTTGCAAGGCTCTTGGCCCCTTGCCACCGGCCTCTTACTTTATGCGAGCGTTACAGACTGGCTAGACGGCTGGATAGCAAGGAAATGGGAGATGAAGAGTGTGCTGGGGACCATATTGGACCCTGCGGCGGACAAGGCGCTCATGACTACCTTAACTGTGACGCTAGCAATGAAGGGTCTTCTTCCAGGTACGTCTCTCCGCTCATGCTCGTCAAAGCAGAACTGACAAGTCGACAGTTCCACTCGCCGTAATCATCATAGGCCGTGATGTCTTCCTGGGCATATCAGCCTTCTGGTGGAGATACACCTCTCTTCCCCCACCTGTGCGTTCACTGCGGCTCATCCTGTCCTTTTCTGAGACGGTTCTCATATTTCGTAGAAAATTTTCACCAGATACTGGGACTTCTCTATCCCTTCTGCCGAAGTGCAACCTACGGAGATCAGCAAGGTCTTCCCTTTCTCCTACACTCTCTCAAGTGCTGACAGGAATACTGTAGATGAACACTGCCCTCCAGCTATTGCTTATGGGCGTGACGACCATCAGTCCCTTGATATCCTATGACCTGTCAGCGCCATTACGTGTATTACAGTACGTCCGCCCCTCTCTCCGTACGGAACAGGCTGACGTGGAATGCGCAGGTGGATCGTAGCAGGGACAACTATCTGGAGCGGTCTGGGATATCTGTTTAATAACCAGAGCGTGCGGTTGGTAGCGAAGCTCCCGAAGAAACCATGATGGTTGTAAGGAGCATGCTTATTCCACATACTAGTATCGCGTCACATTAACTCTAATCGAACATTGGGACTTGTTGCAGAATATGGTACATGTGCACGACAGGAAAGGATACAAGGATAGGACGGTACAGAGAGAGACTACGCCGCTGCGGAGCGTCGACGGCGCGCATCTTCGAGGGCCGCATACATCTTGGGACGATGAGCTTTCTGGCTCCGCCATTGGCTGCTCGCACGTCTGTTTTCCGCGTGAGCAGGTTGTGCATGAGTTTTAGTAGCGCAACCTACTGGATTCTTGACAAGAAGACGACCGCTTGAACTGCACTGCGCAGGCTGATTGGGTGCTCTATACGATGCACACCTGCGATAAGCGTTGGGACCTTCGATAACCTGTTCACGGCATTAGCGACGTCGTGGTGCAAGCATGACAGCGACATACGGAAGTTTGGCTGTCTGCACGAGGATGCTTTGTAGGTAGCGTTTCTGATAGCTAAGGTCCAGACGGAAGACACACTCTCGCTTGTACATGTCCTTTACATACTGTACCTGGACAAGCAATCCCTTACACTCTTTCTTGTGCTGCGCACGGAGCTGCTCCAGCTCTTCGGAATCTCTGTCTGGCGTGTCAGCGGATAATCACCGTTGATATGCATCGACTCACGTTGCACACACATGTTCTGCCAGAGCTCCTTCCCATCGCCGAGCTTGCGCTTGCGCTGCATCGAGCTGTTCTTTCACGAGTCGGACCTCAGTCGCAGACCGCTGTTTCTGGCGTTCGCTCTGGGCTTTCTCCTCGGACCGCTTGATCTCCAGCCGATCCTTCTCCCCTTGGAGGTCTGACAAATTCTTTCCAAAGAGATCCGCTTCCTTACGCAGTCGACGAAGGTCTGCTTCTAAATCCTGGATCAGACGCTGGACTTCACGACGGTCGTCGTGTAGGTGTGCCCTCTGTTGTTCTGCGGACTGGAGTTCTTCAGCCATGGCCGCTAGTTCCAGTCGATAGCGTTCGGTGAGCGCCTCCCGATCATCCTTCTCTTGCTGTAGTTGCTCGAGATACTGTGAATCACAATCAGGCGTGCTCGACTCATCAACCATTGGTCCTCACATCCTGGGTATCGCTCAACCTTTTCTGGAGGGTGCTCTGACCAGTAAGCAGAGTGTCGCGTTCCTTGCGGAGATTCCGGATTTGGTCCTCATTCTCCTGGAGCCGTTGCATATTTCCACGATTCTGCTTTTCGGAAGCGCCTTTGGCTAATTGATGATCATTAGTGCGGTACAATCTTGTAGGGAATGGCCTCTACCTTGCAGGGTAGCTTGAAGCTGAGTGTTGGTTCGCTTAGCATCGTCCAGCGCGACCTTGATGTCATCAAGTTCCTGAGACCGGTCTTAGCCGTAGGCCAAGCTGTCTCAGCGCCAGGGGACTTACAGTTTGCCGCTGCTCTAGCTGACGGCTAATCGAAATTCTTTCCCTCTGGGTTCGAATTTGTTCTTGCGTCAACGCATTAATTTCATTGCGATCTGTACGAATCTCGGAGCGAAGGTGAGAAATTGTGGCTCGAGCATCGTCCAGGTCCTGCGATCAATCAGAACGTACTATTTGCATGACTTATTGGGTAAACTTACCGCTTGTAGAGATGCTTGCTCACGTTGCTTTGTGTCTTTGAGGCGCTGGAGCTCTGCGTTGGTTCGTCCCTTCTCCGTGGTGAGGGCATCGAGTTCTCGCTGAGTCCGACGTCGGTCTTCCTCTCGATTAGACTCGGTTTCTCTCCATTGCCCGCGCTGAATAGACATGTTGGCCTTGAGCACTCTCAACTCTTCATTCAGCTGAGCGAGTGCGGCCCGATCAATCGGGGACTCCTGAGTTGCATCCATATCCAATGACATCTCAAGTTGATCGATGCTGTCAGATTTGGTCAGCTGAACGCATTGCTGACAGGAAAGCAAGTGACCTTTGATCCATATCTCCGACGTCCAAGTGCAACAGGTCTGATGCATCGAAGCGTTTCTTGCACTTGACACATTTGAGCCTTACCACACGCTTTTCAAGAACATGTTCACGGCGAATAAATACGTTGAGTTCTCCTTGCAATTGTTGACGCTTATCGATTTCATCATGAAGGCGCTGCAGAACCACGTTGTTGTGGCCGAACGCGTCCTGCAGACCATCGAGTTCATCATCGACCTCTCGCTCCTTCGCTGCTACCTCTTCTCGGAGACGCTGGATTTCTTGCACCAGCGGAGCAACGTGCGCGGCACTGAATGTAGTATTTTTCAACCAAGACAACTGATACTAACGGTTAGCAAGTACCAAGTCGCCAAAACGGAGACTGACATCTTTCAGCGGGCTGCCCGGAGTCGCCGCCATCTTCAAGGCTTGAATTGACCTATGAACAGCGCTTGGAGTAAGGTCCACGGTGGTGTTCTTTCGCGCTGGCGTCTGCAGCTTGTCCACAGGCGACGATAAGGCAAGCGCTTCCTTGAGAAGCGCGTTTTCTGTCTTAAGACTGTCCGCCTCAGCTGTAATCGCATCTACGATAGCGTTCTTAGCTGGAGAGTTTGCAAGCTGAGATCGGAGTCTGCCAATTTCGCGGTCCGCTATGTCGAGCTCATCCTGAAGCGCCGCGAGTTGTGCGTCATGGGCCGGGTCATGAACCATCTCCTCGGCTGTGTCGTTATTACTCGATTTGTCAGGTCGCAGTCGTTGCGCAAATTCGAGCTCTTCTTCCTTGTCCTTCAGAGACGCTTCCAATTCCTGGATGACATCCTGGCAAGAAGTCAATTGTTGCGATAGATGAGTTGCAGCTGCCCGCAAATCATCTAGTTCTGTCTCTTTATTGGCAAGGACAAGACGCAGGTCGGCTATCGTCACTTCTGCTTCATCTAACCGAGGTTGAAGTGATCGCAGGCGCTCCACGGTGGTCGTGAGCCTGTCCACCTCGGTCGAAGCCTTATTGGCCAACGTGTCACTGGATGTAACAGCACGTCGGAGGTCATCGAGCTTCATTTGGGCTTCTTTAGAGCGGGTGGCTGCCTCTTCTCTCTCGGTGTCACGCTCAGCTCGCTCAGCCTCGAGACGAGCTTGGAGGACCTTCACTTGTTCCGACTCGGTGGATGCTTCGTCCGCGACTTTCTCTTTTAGGGACTGAATCTCGCGGTCCCGGGCCTGAATACGATTTTCGAGTTCCTTAACGATGGAATCGATACCTTCTTCAGCAAGTCTGACTTCCTCATCATGCTTTGCCTGAGCAGCGGTCCTCTCGTCTGTCTCTTGCTTAGCAATGTCTTGCCAGTGACAGCCGTCATCTCTGGCTTGTTCTAGGTCTCGCATGAGAACTTTGAGTTTCGATTCGGCCTCTGCCTCCTTTCGAGCTGCACTCAGCTTGAGTTCGTTGACGGCATCTTCAAATTTTTCGCGTTCAGTGTTGGCCTCATCAAGTTCCTCTCGTAAGCTGGCGACTACATAATGCCACTCTTCAGCCTGGGCTACCGACTCCTCCACCTCGGAGCCGGTATGCACGCTCGGCTGCTGTGGACCAACGGAACTACCGGTGTGGTGGCTGGACGACGAAGTTTCATATTCTTTCAGAGCTAGATGCAAACCCAAGTTCTCTTCGACCAGCTTTTCGTTAAGCTTGTGCAGGTAACCGTTCATTTTGGCCACATTGAATCTGGTTTCACCGATGGCAGGATCGAAGCTTGTGTTTGCTCTCAGGTTGGTGGTCAGGTCATTATTCGTTGAGGGCGTAGAAGTCGTCGCAGAAGCGAAAGAAGCACGGCGTTCCAGGGATAACCGAATGAGTGGATGAGGAGTTCGACGCACAGTGGCACGGTGTGGGTGCGGATGTGGGGTTGTACGAAGACGAGGCTTCGCACTGGAGAGCACCGATAACACATAAGAAGCGCGCCGGCTGGTGGCTGAGCGGGAGCTGGGCATCGCTGGGGTCTGCGGAACGGACATGATGGTGGTAAAATGCGAGTCCATGGGTGATTGTGGCAACGGTGGAAGCTTCGATACTGATGGTGATTGTACTTCGGTGGCCTCCTTTGCAACACTGGCTGGCGAGTTGGAGAATGCTCTTTTCATATGGGAAGTATCCCGATGACTAGACGGAGTATCCTGTGGAAGTGTGATATCGTATGATAAGTCCCCTGAGTCGGGATTCTGCTCCTTTGGTCGTTGGGATTTCGCTTGTTCCTCCTGGGAAATATTTGAAAAGGATGAATCGGACAACACTGGTACGAGTCGCTTGATTGCATTGGTAGACGACCGACGACGCATGTTTATGTTTTGCATGGGATCCCTCGGTGATGGCTATCTCCGCTGCCATGAGAGAAGAGCATGTAACGCAAGGATAGCCAACGTACCATGGGTGCAGAATGCACGCTGACTTGATACTCTTCGTACTCCTCAACCCCTGGCGGAGCACCAGAAATAAAGGACTCTTGCGCTTCGTGTAGCTCGTCCGACTTGACACTTTCTTCCCCTGCAGCGTTCTTAGCAAGGCCATCCTCTACTTCTTTCTCTTCCTCCAATTCCACCGTGCGATCACTCTTCCTGTCGTATTCCCCGCCACGCCCATGCTCCACTCCACTCCTGGAACCCGCACTTGATTTCATCCCTACAAATCTGACTGTGGAGGTAATTGACGACTCGATTGGGCTAGCCCTAAAGCTATTCTCCCGCCGCACGCCATTGGGCAATAGTGACGTACGGAGAGAGTTGACAAATTTGGACTGAGAGCCAGAAAGCTGTCGGGATCCACCCGAAACGAACCGAGATTCTGAGCCACGAAGAGCATTTGTCGCCAGGGGGGTTGAAGTCACTCGCGTTGCAGCCTCTTCAGCATCTGTCGGATCAGTTGGGAAGGATGTGATAGATCGCTCGCGTTCCTCCGACTCGGATGGTGTGACAGACGGGTACATAGGATCGGCAGGTCCATCCTCAGAATCATGCATGGGGAAGCTTGGTAGAGAAGGCATATCAACAAGACTGGCGTCGTTGATGCGCCGCATGATGCGGGATGGAGTTTCAAGAGTGGCCATGTTGGCGGTTGGTGCTCAACGTCCACGTCTCCCGTGAAGACGATGTGCGACGCGTAGGCCGACGCGTCACAGCCACATTGATTTTCTAATCACGTGATATTATTGAACCTGACCCGCACTAGTGTATATTGAGGGCAGTCGACATCGTTGCTTAAAAATGGGTGCTTGAAGCTGAATTGGTCACTTTTCTTAGCCACCACCTTAAAGATCTCATGGACCAACCGAATCTAATCTATCAGCAAGCTCACATCCGCTGCCCACCAACAGGCCTCAGAATCCATGACATTCTTGTTTTGCGTCACGATATTCCATTTGAACCGAACACTTGCTAATTCCAGATTGTCAATCGCCAGTGGTTGGGTCATGCATTTCCTCTCCTGGCCGTATTCTCGCTCGGGGTAAATGGACCATGTGCTCTTGCGCGGGAGAAGATGGGTCCCGTCGGATTCATCCTCGAAATTCCAGCTCAGGACCTCTCCCCTGACCGGTAGCTTTCTATCGCTTGATCTGTCAACCGATTCTACGCGGCAGCTGTCGAGACCGCCCAACAAACGTTCTCACTGGCTCTGTGAAAGTTCAATACGACGATCAGGGTCAATCGGCGCTTATCTCTTTGAATCCAACATGAACTTTCAGCACTCATTGTGCTGAAGTCATTGGAACACATCCGTTGCATCTTTGAGTTCAGCACAGCCTTGTATGGTGCCGGCATCATTGCATCAGAGGCGTGCTCACGAAGCCCGACAACACCTGCTGGATATCTCGATAATCTCTGCGGAAGTTGCTAGGCTTGGCGGGTACCCCATTTGGTGCTTCTACTTGCGTTCACATCCCTTCGGCCGGCAAGTCGGGAGGCAGATTCGATAAATGGGTGGCTAGATCAAGAATCTCCCTCCTCTCTTCATCCCCAACTCTCTCCCTTCAACCCCAACTGCTCACTCTCTCCCCACCTGTCTGGCAGAATGGCGGATCGCTTGCGTTGGCAGCCTTCTCTCCCCAGTTTGGCCGGGAAAGCCAGCAGTCGCAATCCACAGGTCTTCATTGACATTTTTGCACCTGGGCCAGCGCCAGTCAGTCCCACCACTTGATTAGTTGACCCGCGGTTATTGACCTGTTCCGTAGGCCTACCTTGCTCCACTTGAGGAGATCAGTCATGACAACTATCGCATCCTCACCATTGAATCACGTTGCTGCACGTTTTGCGCGCGCACTTTCCGTGCGTTGTGAAGTTACGTCACAATTCAGTAACGAATTCTCATGTGTTTTCTCAGCCCATCCTACGGCCCTGAGGAAACACCTGAGCGAGGGCACCGTACCCTGCAAGAAAGCCCAAACCTCGCAGCGTCATGGAGGATGCCGCTTCACATTCTTTGGATGGAAGTACAGTACGTTGTATCTCCGCGCGGTGGATGGCTAACTCATAAGTTCTTCTCAGGTCAGGGATCAGTTGACCCCGCCATTCGCAAACCGCTCATGCACACGAAGTATGCGAAACTAGAAGAATTCCAGAACCTCGAACATTCTCAGAAGGCCGCGTGGCTCACGAAGGTTTTCCCGAGTGTACGGTACCGATCATGTGTCGAAGCTTCTTTGAGTATTGATGACATATCCAGGAATTGCCTCAGACATCAGCTGCTACCTCGCCCGAGGCATCCCGGACGCGCATTCTGAGCCCATCTCAGGCAGCAACCCCAATAGCTTCGTCTTCGTCTTCTACGGCAGTGCTTACACCCGCACCAACTATCGCACACGTAAATGCGACGTCGATATCTGCATCGGCTTCTATCACTGGATTGGGTCGATCCATAGTGCACCTAACAATAATGCCTACCGAGCAACCACAGTTGATACGCGCCGAATCTGTGGCTTCGTCCGACTCGGACTCTGTCGAAGAGACACCAGCAACCCATTATATCCCCAGCGTACATTTGCCGAACTGGGAAGATGGTTTTGCCACCATACCATTCCACCAACAGTACGATAAGACAACCGAATGACGAGACTTTTCTGACTGACCTTTTCAAGGCATATCCTTCCACATGACATTCAAGGACATGTCACTCCGCTTCGCCGCGATCGCAACTTTTACAAGCACTTCCTCTTGGTCGAATTAGAAGCAATCAGAGTTGCCAACAATGACTATTTCAACACCCCTACAAATGACGCTGAGCAAGCCATGCGTCGTCGATGGGATCGCCCGCTGCATATCTCCAGTCCGGCATCCCCTTACATCAATGCTGCGTTCGTCGATCCAGGCGACACCAACCGTCCATTCTTCGATTGGTACGCCGGACAAGTGCTCAAGAGCGAGCGGTATCCAGATGGAAGTCTGCGCGCAACGGCCCAAAATTCCCCTTCATTCCTGAGCTCTCCCTGGCCGCGCAATGGAGAGACCGAACCGCCGCCTCCCGAGATCATTGCGATGTTCGGTATTGGTGGACAATTGGAACCGCAGCAACCGATTCTCCCTTACACGACTGCATATGATAATCACCCACAATTCGCTGCCCATCTGCCGGTTCAGACCACCTTCGTAACGCCCGAAGAGCATGCAATACCCCCGGACTTCAATGTAAACCCGCCGACGCACCAGAACGGATTTTATCACGGTTGGGCATCGTAATGAAGGACTGACTTTCTGTTTCCTTGTAGTATATATCGATCATTGTGTGGCGCTCTCGATTTTTTTGCTGACACTTGCGTTACGTTAGGTTGTACTGTACGCGGTTATGGCCTTGATGTGATTCCGAATTTCCAAATAGCTGCTCCGCAGCGTTGTCGCGACGTACGAGATGTGTATTTCTGTATGTTGATGACTGAGTAGTATACCGTTTCCCGATATGACCTCGGTGTTATTCATTTCTTTCGGTCTGTATTTCACGGTTCTAATCCGGTGTTGTATTCAGGAACGATCTGTAATGACTGGGTGATAGTAACGATGGCGTTGGTCTGGAGATAACCCCGATTGAGAATACCTAAACGGAGGATATACCCACCCAGATAGGATCCAAAGTTCAGGCGAACGGGGCTGAGCGCTTCCCCAGATGGTGGAGAACAGCGTGACCAATTGTCCTCATGCCGAGCTGCCCTGCACCCAATCTGCGGTTTCCAAACGCAGCGAGGTGACTGACAAAGATGGCACCATCGTCGTCCCCAGCACAGGATCCGCGATGGAACGCACAATCTAATACGGGTTCGCGATCTCGGGAAACAGCGGTCGCGGCCATCAAGAGCGCATGAGCGCCTCGATCTGTAGATGTGAGAAGAAACAGGATGAAGAGCGACAGAAGTTGGAATGAAACCGGCTCCCGAGATGTTGATAGGAGGTCAGGTGCTCGGTGCAGAGTTCGGTCATTCGGAACCCCCGAGTCATGTAGAAAGTGGAAATACGTTGTCTTCCCGTATTGCAACGAGCGATAATGAAATCTCGTTCTCGGAACGGTTCCGGCGATTTATATGGCGAATGGCAACGGCAGGGCAATATCCGTCCACTCGATCGTGCTTCGTCGGTTATTATTTCTGAAGCAAAATCCCATAAGAGTAACTATCGCCGGACTCGCAAAAGCGATTCGTTTTCCTCGTTTGCTTGCAAGCCGAAGAGGAGCAAGGTAGAAATGGTGGGCGTCCACCACGTGGCGTTATCCAGTTCGCCACTTGTGTCGTTCTCCATCTGTCCGATCTCAACTCTTCTATCCCTAACTATATACTAACCAATGTTCCAACAACCTCAGACGCAGTATAATCCCTACGGCTCACAAAGCCAACAACAGGTGCCTCAGCAGCCTCAGCAGCAGCACAGCGTTAACACTCCGCCCAACTTTTACCAGTCAGGTGGTGTGCCAAACCGCCCACAGCTGTTCCAGTCACCATCTCAGTCGAACATCGCGAGGGTACCGGATCAGTCCAAAGACACTGTCAATCCCTCGTCTCTGCAAACAACGTACCTTCCTGGATATCTGATCGCCTCCCAGGCTGGTCGGGTGCGCTATCTTTATTGTGACATGATCCGGTGCTGACCGGACCCCAAGGGACCACCAGCGTCGATCTGGGCAACTCCATCGGTCGAAAAGACCACACCGACAAAAGAAGACGAGAACCCGTTTGCGAAAGAGGCGCCGATTTTCAGAGACTCCAGGGATGGTGCATCAACGTCTTTCAACAACAGCACACCGTACACCTCCCGGACTGGCTTCACTCTTGCGAAAGGGTAAGTCTTTCTTCTATGCTGCCTTTCTGCTCTAAACGAGGGACTCAGCACACCAGGTCGGTCACCGGGAGAGCGCCCGACACCCTACTCTCCTGAATACACGCGCAACACCCCACCTGAGGATGAGGACTCCGTTCCCCAAGTCTCGCTGAGCGACATCCCCCCCGGACCACGACGCCGCCCAGCAGGTCCCGATGACAGCGGCTTCTCCCTCGCATCTGACATCAGCGGCGTGGGGATCGCGCCTCAGGTCATCAAGCTTGTCGTCTTTGGCTTCCCGGCACACATGACAACAAGGATAATCAAAGACTTTACGAGCTTTGGGAAGGACCAAGTGCTGAGCCAGGAAATGGGACCAGAGGGGAGTAACTACTTCGTAGTGGGGTACCGTGACCCCGCGCTTGCTGCCAGAGTGGCGCGGAGGAACGGGGAGTTGATGGATGGCATTTATCGTATTGGAGTGATGTACCAAGTACGTGTCGTACCGCACTTGACCGATTAGTCCGCTGACGTCCTGCAGGACCCACGACAGCAACCGATCGACGGCATGCTCCCGTCTACCACCCCACCGCCAGATGCCTCCCTTGCCCCCGCTTCTGCCACGTCTCCACACCACCTCCAAACGCGAGCGTCCAATGTCTCCCTCGCCAACACCTCCGCGTTGATCCCGAACCCACCCAAGAAGTCGACATACGAATGGCTCACGGGGATGTTCGTTCCCCCACCTACGCCGGCGAAGCCCCTGCCGGGACAAGTACTGCCGCCCTCCTTGACCGCTCCGGCAGCGGCAGCCCCGACTCCTGCAGCGCCGACGGCACCAGCGGCACAGCCATGGGGTGTTACCACCGCGGTGAACAAAGTCTCTGAGTTGGTATTTGGCTGGTAGCATATACAAACATACTCTTGCACGGTCAGTCATGGCGTTGGTACATTTTCTCTGCAATAGCTCGATACCCTCGGTCATCGACCGACAATTAGCAAGTTTAAACAGATATGTCGGCGATAATTGATAATGTTTCATGTGCGAGTGATGTGCAGACGTTCTGGGGGTAAACTGGAGTACAAGATATCCCATTGACGGACAAGTTTGACGTGTGTGTGGATCCCACGTGAAGTTTCAGAGTCGCTGTACGAGGTCGCTATAGATAGATGAGACAGTTGGAGGAGCTGTCCCACTACTAGAAACAAATTCCACCAACATTCCCAACGTACAATCGCGGCCATCGTTCAGGCCAGTAGGCAGGCGGTGATGTGCAGTCTCATCACCGTCCTGTCCCAAGCCCTGCACCTTGCAGCGGGTGCTTGTTCTCCTGTTCCCTGTTCCCATCATTGTCCCTTGCTTGGCTCCACTCCTCTAACCACCTACCCAACCGTTCCTCATCCACCCGATGCTTCATCACCCTTCCCCTTGTCCCCTCCCCTTGCTCCAAAATCAGCACAGGAATATCAAACTGATACAGCCTGCGCCATTTTTTGTTCTCCGGTTCCTGGATATCTACCAACTGGAGGTCGAATGGGTGGGAGAGTCGAACGTTTGCTAACTGAGATTTGGCCACCTGCAAATAAAGGAGATGAGATGCAGCTATTGTGCTGATACAGTGTCACTGACGTCACAGAGAGAGCAAAAAGGGCCAGTGAAGAGGGTTAGCCTGGGCAGGGGTTTCATCGGTTTTCTTGTCCGACGGAATAAACCAATTCCGTATATATAGAAGGATATCCACGAAATGATCCTAAGCAATAATACATTGCTGAGTTTGTAACCGGTTTCACGTTCACACGGGCCATATATTACCCCGCCCAGGGGTCGGTTATTGAGTAGCCGGATGGATCGGAAGCGCCTTCTCCGCTGTGATGATCGACGCCTTCCCCGCTTTCATTCTGACACAGTGACCGGGTCTACAGCAAAGGGGGTTATATAGCCCCTTTACTCTTTACGTCCACCTCATACCTTCACCGACTTCTAGCCATGTCACTCCAAACACCTATCACAGAGCTGTTCAAGATCCAACATCCTATCCTCCTCGCAGGTATGCTTTCGTCTCACTCATCATATCCGCCTACTAATACACAACAGGGATGAACGTCGCTGCTGGCCCCGAGCTCGCCGCGGCCGTCACCAACGCGGGAGGCATGGGCGTGATTGGCGGTGTGGGGTACACACCGAGGGTGCTCACGCAGCAGATCAAGATCCTCAAGGATAACCTGAAGGACAAGAACGCGCCTTTTGGTGTGGACCTGCTGCTTCCCCAAGTGGGAGGTAATGCGCGCAAGACGAACGTATGTTCGTCAATTTACTACTTGATGAAGGGGAGCTCACTTGGAGGCAGTATGATTATACCAAGGGCCAGCTGCCAGCGTTGATTGATGTGATCATCAAGGAGAAAGCCGCGCTGTTTGTGTGTGCCATCGGTATCCCTCCCAAGGAAGTGGTCGACAAGCTTCACGCGGCGGGGATCCCCGTGATGAACATGGTTGGGCATCCCAAGGTACTCCCGTCTCACATGTAGTTTTTCCCATTTGCTGATCATGTTGGGATTGCTTGCAGCACGTTCCCCGCGCACTCGCAGCCGGTGTCGACCTCATCTGCGCCCAAGGCGGTGAAGGCGGCGGGCACACCGGCTCCATTCCCTTCTCCCTCCTCATGCCCGCCTGTGTCGACGCTTGCCGCGGAAAACGTTCCTCGTTCACGGGTCAACCGATCCACGTCATCGCCGCCGGTGGGGTATACGACGGGCGCGGGCTGGCCGCGGCGCTTATGTTCGGTGCGCAGGCGGTGTGGGTTGGCACGCGTTTTGTGGCTAGTACGGAAGCGGGTGCGCCGAGGATGCATAAGGAGGCCGTCACGTCTGCTGGATACGATGACACGATCCGAAGTGTGATCTTCTCTGGTCGCCCGCTGAGAGTGAGGAAGACCCCATACGTTGAAGACTGGGAAAACAACCGCCAGGCAGAGATCGCCGAGCTCACAGGAAAGGGGATCATCCCCGCTGAAAAGGACTTAGAGGAGCACCCGGAGAAGAGTCTTGAGGCTCGTCCATGGCTCATGGGTCAGGTCGCAGGGGCGATTGGGAGTGTGAAGCCTGCGAAGGAGATCGTGGATGAGATGGTGCAAGGGGCTGTGGAGCAGTTGCGCATGGGGGCGGGCTTAGTTAAGGGACGGGCGAAGCTTTGAGGAAGGACCCAGGGAGGAAGGAGGAGGAATCATGTCTTGTATATGTTGAAATGACAACCTTTGTGTCGTCTTCTTGCAATGGTGTACTCGTTACCCCAGAAGGGCCAGAAATACGTGCATTTCTGGACATCGGATGTATGTATGCTGCGCAAACGAGGGAATGACGAAGGGGTATGACATTGCAGATCCTGATGATATAAAGTAGTACACCAGAACTAGAGGATATGCACCTTCCTCAGCTCTCCAAACTCACACTTCGCATCCGTCTTGGGATCAGTGACAAATCCCATACCTACCGCTGCCGCCTGCTGCTCCAATGCCTATATGTACGTTAGCGTTGAAATGATAGCAAACGGGGGAGCTCACCTCTTGGGAATAAACAGCCCCATTGGGGAAAGCCATTGGCGGGTTATCGCCGTTCGTGATCTGCCCGCTTATCCTACAAATCACCGTCGAGATACTGTGGTGGCTGAAGGGAACTTCCTTCGCGAGCTTTCCAAAGCCCTCGACGTCGCAGACCGGGCAGTCGGGGTTGCGCGAATCGCGATCGTAGCATGCTGGGTGCTTGAGCGCTGCTAGCCCGGCGTAGAGGGCGATATAGAGCATTGGTTCGGAGGAAAGGGAGGAGAGGGTGTATGCTGTTTGTCTGAAGGTGCGGGCGAGGACCTTCCACCGACTTAGGTCGTATAGCCGCTTATGCGGGCCTGTTATACTCCGCCCTCCGGAGGCGGAGGAGGCGAGGATGCCCATGGCCATCTCTAGCTCTGAACGGTGCTCGCTTTCCCAGGCAACGAGGTGCTTGCGCATATAGATGATCGCTTCCCGTGCTTTGGAGGCACGGATGAGCTCGATGAACTCTTGTAGCCGGAGATCGAACTCGAGATTGGAACGGAGTTTCTTGAGTGCGATCCGGTTCTCGGTGCACCAGTGCAGGGCTTGGGTACAGGAACGCGAGAGGAGGGAGTTCTCTATCGCACTGATTTCCGAGAAGAGCTCGATGTCCACCAGATCCTGGGATCCTATAATGAGGAGAGGCCGGCTGGTGAGAGGAAGAGCGTACCTCGATCCCTTTCGCATTTGCAACTGCTTTGGCAGTCTCTGTCCTCCCCGTTCTCAGCGCCCAATCGACGATCCACCTATCAAGCCTCGTCCTAGAAAAGCTTTTATACATGGGATCGTCCACACCCGTAAATGCATCGATCGCAGCTACGTGCTCGATCCTCTTCCTGACCTTCCCATGCGCAGGGGAGAGGGACCGGTCCTGGAGCTCCTCGACACGGTGCTTGAGCGTGCGTACTCGGGCGGTGAGATGATCGAGTTGAGCCGAGACTTGTTCGCGCGAGAGACCACCGACGAGACCCGTTTTGGATTTGTGTAGCAGATCTTTAGCGGTTGTGGACAGGAGGGCAAGATCCCGGTCTACAAGGCGTGTGGCATTACGGAAGCTCTTGCGGGATGCTTCAATAGGAACCTACGACATGTAAGCAGAAGCAGAGAATAAGAGCGTTGACAGTAACCTTTATGAAAGGTTGTTCAAAGAGGAGCGGTCCCTCTTGAACTGGCTTAAGTGCACTCATCCTGGCGGTCGTCGTCAGTCTCAGGGTGAGTGCACGCTTACCCCGCACAGGAAGGGACTGACACATCGCCGATCGGCTCCGGGACATGACGCGCTTCTCGGGAGCTTTTGGCCAACATCGACGCACAGTCACGCCAACCAACCAACTCCCACATTCATCGAGACGACCACGACCACCGTCCCCGAAAGCTCTTGCGAAGCCTAGTTTCTTATACATTTCTCTCTCCAAAACTTCTTACTCTCAAAGCTTCAAAATGGCACCTACCCGACGCGCCTCTAGTGGACGGCCCAGTCCTGCACCATATGTTCAACAAAAGCTCTCCTTCGGGTCCTCCAAGCCCGCAGCCTCCGCTACTACGAATAAGGCGAAAAAGTCTGCTTCTACAACCGCATCACGAAAGCAGACGGAGACACCTCCATCTTCCGTGCAAGCGCCGGAGCTGGTAGAGCCCGAGGAGTCGAGCGACGAAGAGGTGGATGAGGCTGCAACGCCGACTTTGCCAGCCGCTCAGCTAGAGCCGGTGAAGAGAGAGACCCTGGATGTCAACGACAAGTCTGGAAAGTATAGATCATACTGGAAGGAGGCCCAGACTCGTATGGGACACCAGGAACCTAGTGAGTATCTCTTTTGATAGCATACGGGAGCAACAACTAACCTACATGCAGTACACGGCAAGGACGAATCCAAGGTCTACGGGATGCTGCGAGTATTTGACCTATCTTACGAATACGGGCCGTGTATTGGAATAAGTAGGATTGAGCGGTGGACGCGCGCTGAGGTGATGGGACTTGAGCCGCCTACAGAGGTGCGCGTCTTTCCTTTCGTGTATCCCTGAGCTGGTATGCTGATTGCATGTAGATCCGCGATATCCTGATGACAGAGGAGGGCACCAATGATCCTCGACTTGCTCAGTGCATCTACTTTGAGAGTGATGCGTGAACTGCCTATATTCCGCAGGCCTAGACCCTCATATACCTTCCCTAACCGCTTGTGCGTGTGTGGTAACATTCTTTCCCACGGTTCTCCACATTCAGTCCTGTCTTCCTTGTCTGTTGTTCCCTGTGATCGCTCATGGCCCTGTACGTTTCTCGGACTGCATCCAGCCTTCGTACAACCAAATATACTGCACTGATATATTTATTATCCAATATCCACGCTGTTCAAAGGTCGCGACTGAGAACGCGATTTCCCAGGATGATGGCTCAACGATGATCCGGTCCTCCCCGTCATTGCGCATACGGCGGAGCAAGTCACCTGACCCTTGCCCTCCGCCCGTTCAGCAACTGATGCAGTAATGAATGACCATTCATATGCATTGAACAGACAACTTGTGGAGAGAAGCTTGATCTCTGACGAGCACATATCTTTTCTCTTCGGGAGAGGTATTTAAGTGAGCATCGACAGCTGCGAGCTCAGCACCCTGCTTTGCCGACATCGTCGGACCGCTTCTCTGTCCAACTTTCCTTCTCTCGCCAGTCTCGCGCATCTTTTCCTCGACCAATCACGACCTACCGATGTCCCCACCCCCACCCTCGTATGTCGATGTGCTCGTCATCGGCGCCGGTCCCGCAGGCGTCATGATGGGCACGGCACTTTCCCACGCGGGGATCAACGTGCGTGTCGTCGATAAACGGCCTGCGAAGGTCATGGCCGGGCAGGCGGACGGCATCCAGCCGCGGACGATCGAAGTGTTCCAGAGCTATGGGTTAGCTCAGAGACTGCTCGAACGGGGGAATCAGATGCACTCTCTGGTATGTTCGCCGTCAAGGAATGAGGAAGAAGGTTCTGATCCGTTGCTGTTCTTAGGCATTCTACAATCCTCGCCGGGACGGGAAGGGCGTCGAACGCACTAGTCGCGTACCCGATGTGACTGCCCCGACGGCGAGGTATAGGTTCGAGGTGACCCTGCATCAGGGAGAGATCGAGGCTATATTTCTAGACTCGATGCGAGCGCATGGGCTTGAGGTGGAACGCCCGTGCGTCCCGGAGAGCATCGAGATTTCGGGGGATGAGAAGGAGCTGCAGAGCAGGGAAAGCTATCCGGTCAAGGTGCGTTGCCTGTAAGGAGACAGGACGGGTCTGATCGTACGGATAGGTGGTGCTCAGGCATCTAGTGGATGCAACGCTCGACGCTGCCCCGAACGGGATGCACACAAACGCCATCGATCCATCTGTAGAATCATCCGGTAGCACGCTCGAGACAGTCTATGCCAAATACGTCCTAGGGGCCGACGGTGCTCACAGCTGGGTCCGCAACGCCCTTGGTATCTCGCTTGACGGGGAACAGACGGATCATGTGTGGGGAGTGGTGGACTCCGTGCCGGTCACAGATTTCCCAGACATCAGGAACCGGACGGCGATCCACTCGGACAACGGAAGCTGCATGATCATCCCAAGAGAGGGGGATAAGGTCCGGCTATACGTGCAGATTACCGACGGTCTGCAGGCGGATGATCACGGGAGGATTGACAGGAGTGCGGTCACGCCTGAGAGGGTGATGGAGGTGCGTTCTTTTGTTTGTGATGAACTGCAGGCTCATGATATAAAAAACAGATTGCGAAGCGCTCAATGCGCCCTTACAAGCTCGAGTTTCCTGACCCGCCAGAATGGTGGACATGCTACGTCAGTGAGTGGTTGCGTAGCTCCATACGATGCAAATGTCTGATGTTGGCTCAGTTGGACAGCGGGTAGCAAAGAACTTTTCCGTCAAGGACCGCGCCTTCATTGCGGGAGATGCCTGTATGTGGTCATAATTTTACATTTCGCGTCCCCGTAGCTTACCAAGGGTAGGCCATACCCACTCTCCTAAAGCCGGGCAAGGGATGAACGCATCAATGAATGATTCGCACAATCTGGCTTGGAAGCTTGCACACGTCTTAAGGGGATGGGCGTCCCCAGACTTGCTCAAGACTTACGAGCTAGAGCGCCGAAAGTATGCGCGTGACCTGATCAATTTCGATAAGAAGCTCGCAGATCTGTTCTCGGGCAAGGCAGTCTCCCCCGGGAATGCGGAGGGAGTGACGCACCAGGAGTTCCAGGGGCTGCTTCAGTCCATGGGTGGATTCACAAGCGGTATCGGCATCCAGTACATTCCATCTCTCATCACCGATGCCACTTCACAATCTCTAGCTGAAGGTCTTGTAATCGGCCAGCGGTTCGTACCGCAAGAGATCATCCGGATTGCCGATTCCCGACCGTTTGAAATCCAGGACTTGCTCGTGAGTGATACCAAGTGGAAGGTCGTTTTCTTTGTAGGCGATCCGAAGGAGGTGAGGGAGTATGCGGTCGTTACTGCCGTAGGAGAGTACTTGCAGGAGGAAAAATCGTTTTTGAGGCGGTTTACGCCCAAAGGGGCGGCGAAAGATGCGGTGTTCACCATTCTTACTGTGTCAAGTACCGCGAAGGACGATGCGGACTACACGGATATTCACCCTGGACTACGAACCCATTGGTCTAGGTACGTCGAGGGACTTCATCACCGTTTACTGCTACTGAATAACGGCACAGAGCCTTCACAGATGACATTGCCATCGACGAGAAGGCAGGCGGCACTGCTTATAGAGTGTATGGAATAGATCCAGCCTCCGGTGCCGTCGTAGTCTGTCGTCCAGACGGTTACGTATCGTTCGTATGTGCTCTCGAGGACGTGACGAAGGGAAGGTTGGAGGAATATTTTGGGAAATTTATGATTGCGACGAAGGTGTGATGTAGTGGTGGGAATCTAAGCAAAAGAAGAAATGTATGAAGTATCTCAATGACAGGATTTGTATTTTACCGTATTAGAAGCAAGCCTAGGTCCGTGTCTGGGATCGGTTTGTCTGAGATCGGCGTTACGCCGATCGGTGATGTCCTTTCTATCAACCGCAAGATCGACTCGACCTCCTCACTCTATCTCTTGAACTTCATTGTATCTTTACCATCGAGGCCAACGTCGTCAAAGAGATGGTGGCAAGCGAATTCTTGGTGACAGCCAGATTATTATTCAACGTGATGGGGACGATCGTGAGTTGGGGTTTTGGTATGTGTGGCGAACAGTCGCGTGTGTCTTCCATTGTTGATCCACCAACACAGGGCAAGAGGTGTACCCCAACCCGCGATGAGCACGCCAACTTCAAAGTCTTGCTACTCGCTCTGCACTCTGGTGTTATTTATGGTACAATTCGCCTAGATTGTCGCGCGCTGTATGTTTTGCTGCTCGGAGACTCGCAGTGAGCATGTATGCTTCCCTTATGTGGCCTGTGTGCTGATCCATGCTAGTGTAGCTTAATAGCTCCGATTCAAAGGCTTACCATTACAGATTTCATCACAACCCTCGCGTTTTTGGTGAATTAAATCCCACCTAAAATAGTCCTTCATTCGCCCTGGTGTGTTATTTTTTCCATATCCGTCTCTGAAGTGTCGCTAAATGACTTCAGAGGGCTGTGTATGAGGAAGAGGTTGCTCGTCACAGTGGTCTCCTGTTCGAAGGCCACTTCTACCCCAGACATGGTGGCTTACATGCGCCTGCTGCCCCAAGTCTGCTCGCGGTGTCGTCACAACGTTGAATCGCACGAACAGAGACGGTATCACAGCCCGTCGGCCTCCCCTCCTCCCCATTTACCAGAGCACGATGTCGCTGAGCATCCTACACTTACCCCTTGCTACGCCTCCGTCGACTCCATCTTCGGTTCATCCTCCTATGACATTCGCTGAACGAAGGAAGAACCTGCACCCATCCATTGCGTCTTCTCCTGCCCGGCATGGCTATGATTCAGGGGCGCAACAACATCATTTGCCGAACTATACCTGTCTGAAACGACCGCCGAAACCCTGACCTTGTATCAAGCCGCGAGAAGCGGCGAGATCATATCGATCTAATGCGAGGTGTTACGGAGTCGAACGGCTGGATCCCTGGATGACCTATACGGAACAGGGGCGTTTCTTTATACAAGCTGGTGTTCCGCTATCATCGTAGGATGACCAGACCGGACTTCTCTATGCTCCCTCTAACCACTAAGCCGTCCAAGAAGCGCAAGTAGCGCGGAGTCGTCCTCTAGCGACTGGTTGGTTGCTGCTCGTTGTTGGCAATTGTGAAATGTGAGTAAGTCTGGACAGCAATCTCCCAAGCTGAATAGCAGCCTCATACCAGACCGCAGATGACACAAATTCTCCGTTGCCGAAGGTCAGCAGACCTCGAATTTGTGAGGGATGCCCGGTGGTTTGCCCGAGTTGATGCAGGTGCCCAGGCCCTTGCCCTGGTAAGACACAAACGTTCCTGGAATACGTCCGCTGGCATTGATAATGTCGGAATTGCCCAGCGAATTCTTTCGAGTTTCACGAATCAGAAGGACGAAAGACGGTGTTTGTTAACCGCCGAAGGTACACGAAAGCTATTCTGAGAGCTTATGCAGCATTGCACATGTTGACCGCAACACTATGCCGAGACTTTGGCGCCTTCTGCCGAGGTTGCTGTGCGATGCCGTGTGTAGTCCTGGTATGCAAATATGTTGACAATTATATTGCCTCCGCGCTGATACACAGCTAGAACTCGACCAAGTGATGATTACGCAGAAGAGATATACCATCATGTCACTAGTGAGTGTTATGGACAGCGCGACCCTACGGGCTCTTGCCTGTCTGCTTGCCTGTCGCTTTCACCATGGACCACACAACGCCATACGTCAGCCCTGTTACCAGTCCTACACCAGTGAGCTGCAAGTACTCTTGATGTTACGCACGTCTTATCGGCCCGTCAGAACCCGCGTCATTCAGCTGACTCCTCAAGCGGCTTCAGCTCGCTTGGACCGCTGACACCGGCGTCTAATGTGCGCGAGTCTCTGAGCCACTGAATTTCTCAATTGTAACTCAAAAAGCGCGCTTTGTAGACGTCTTTGGTTCTCCATGAGCCATTCGGGCACTCCCCGCCCGGCAGTCGCGAAAACTCTTCCGGATTTCCTATTTCAGTAAGAATCCAGATCGTCGCTGCACCGCGAGAGCTCACTTCCATCAGCATGGCAAGCTGAATAATGACCTTGATGGCGATGTATCATCTCTGGTCCTTCAACAGCACAAAAACGTTGGGTCTGCTGACGCGCAGTCTCTTGACCAGGGGGCAGATCTTATGGGCCATGAGACAAGACGTGTGAACATCTACCAGCCGGTGCTTACGAATATTCGGGAAGAGGAACAAGTCTTGGGGGCAGTATTGTCTATGCCAGCATCTAGAGTGCCGAAGCCTTTTGACTTTGCGTTTCCAAAGAAGGCTCAGAGTGCGGAATTCAAAGGACTCCTTCCTCCATCCAAAATCGGCCAACGACGGGAGAGCAGAGATGCGCTCTCTCAAGTTACTCCCCTCGTCCTTCCCAACTCTGAACTTGATCATGCCAATCAAGACAATCTTCCCATATTGCTGAATAAACTCGCTGTGCCCATCGTTATGGCATCAAAGATCGATGGATCTCCTGTCAACGGTGGTGCCTTCGCCGATGTTTGGCGAGGCCTCATGCAGCCTGACCATCAGCTTGTTGCGTTGAAGGTGCTTCGGCTACATTTACGGGGTGCTGACATCCGCAAAGTACACAAAGTGAGCCAGCCTGATACTCACATGGCCTACTCTGACATATAATTCCTCAGGCCATTGCACGAGAGGTGTCTGTGTGGGCTAGACTGCATAACAAGAACGTGCTGCCTTTTCTTGGTGTTCGACCGGAAGATGATGGCGATAGCCTCTGGCTTGTATCTCCATGGATGGAAAAGGGCGATGTCAAGACTTATCTCACGAACTACCCCAATATCAGTCGCTTTCCCCTGGCAAGTGACTCACCGGCACTCGGCACTTGTACAGATCACTTACACATGATAGGCCTCGGGAGTAATTCGTGGAGTTGCCTATCTGCACAAAAATAATGTCGTTCATGGTGATCTCAAAGCAGTATGTCCAATTTCCATCGCGATCCGTTGCCTCTCACATCTCCGCAACAGAACAATATCCTTGTTACCAACGGTGGCGAGCCTCAGCTGGCGGACTTTGGCCTGTCCGTCGTTCTTGATGATGTTCTTCCAGAACAAACCACGTCCTCGATGTTTGCTGGTTCAGTCAGATGGATGTCTCCTGAGCGAATTGAACCTGCCAGGTTTGGATTGACTCCTTCCTTGTGTCGCACGCTTGCGGGTGATGTGCACTCACTTGCCATGACTCTCTGGGAAGTGAGTACGTAGCACCAGATTTCGATTCTGTGCACTGATATCCCATAGATGTTCACCCTGAAGTACCCTTATCCTCAACTGACTCAAGTAAATGTCCCAAAAGCCATCATCAGCGGGGAACGTCCCCTCTTCCTGATCACACGGCAAATGCTGTTGGTTTCACTTCCGAGTTATGGAATTTCATACAGGCGTGCTGGACTGAAAGACCAGATATGCGACCAAGGTTATCAGAGCGTCTTGATGACGGAGATGACGGTCTGTTAGATATAGAGCATAACACAGGTTTGATTGTGTATCTCATGCACGAGTGCTTAGCTGAAATATTTTATTGCTCGCAGAACTCGCGCCCCAGGAAGGGATAGCGAGCCATCACAATGCTGTGGATCCTTTTGTTCACCGCGCAGCGTTCCACATATCCAGCGAGGATCTTGAAGTGGTCGCTTCTGGATCTCCAGAAGCCGCGTCACACCCTTCACCAACAACATACAGCAGTCTGATCAACTGGCAAGTACCGGTGGAGAGCGCAGAGATCATACTGGAGTCTCTTAGCGGGTCGCGTGGGTTCGCTGCCATTCCTGCTTTCGATAACCCCTGGATGGCGCTGCTGTATGCGGAACATGAGCAGCACCCCCCTAGGGATGTGATATCAATGAAAGGGTCATTGGGTGAAGTTGTAGGAAGGAATGTCAGTCCTACCGAGATTCCTACGCCTCACACGCTCACGAAAGACGCCGAAGCCGACTCCGTCGAAGAACGAGAGATTATGGTCAAGCGTAACCGTAACATTTCAATGTCAGGTTACGAAGGCGATACTGAAGGAATATCTAAACCCGCCTGGCGCCAGCCTTCTCGCGGGGAGGCAACAACGCCTGGACGCCAGGTCTGAACAGAGGCTGAGTGGCCTGTGCTCGCTCGTCGCTCCACACTGCCCACTGCAACAGCCATCGAGTCGGGTTAGTGGCGTGCTTATACCTTGTTTCAGACCACTTATATTCTAATCAGCACCCACCAAGCAGCGTCAGTCGCCGCGACCTTCAGAGCCAATCAATGTCTCCCACGTTTCCCAAGGTGTGACGTCATGGCCGAAATCGTCTGATCCAGATATGGCGACCGCAGATTTGAGAGACGGGCACAACCAGCAAGATGATAACTCGATGCGTTTTCGTGTTCACCCCGATCTTTTCTTCCTAATGGACGTTCCATGGGACGGACACAATGATATCAAGCTCAAATTGGGGGTAGAGCCTGTGGCACCATCCTCAGTGGTAGAGTTGATTCCATCGCAAGAGGGCCAGAACACGACGGCACCTGCTTCGACTAAAACATTGGGTATCGACCCACCGTCACCGCTGCCTGTCGAATCCAAATCCCAAGCCGTCAATAATATGCATGAGACGACACCCGGTCAGTGTTTGACCATTATATACCTGTTCTCAGCACCTGACCTCGTCCGCAGGCCTGGTTGACTTGGGTAGCGAGTTTGAGCCAATTGAGGTGCAAGAAACAACTGGCGACTCTTTTGCAGGCGAAGTTTCGGACGTCATTGTCTATGTAAGCTCTACCTGAAAAAAACATCCCTATTCACGTGGAGGCTGACTGGGCTTTAGAATCTCGACCGGGCAATAGACAGTGCTGAGCTCGAGCGCCTGTTCCAGCCTTATGGGAAGATATGGGAGTACGTACTCAAGCACAGACTATGGTATCTATCCCCTCACACAAATCACAGAGTCAAAATAACTATGGATCAGCGTGGTGTATCCTTGGGGCGCGGTTGTGTGACTTTCGCTGATCACTCTGACGGTAAGATAACTTGTCTATATCGAGGAGCAAGATAGTTGGCTCATCATTGAACAGCACAACAAGCAGTCCGAGATATGGACAAGAAGATGGTTGGGAATCAACGCATCACGGCCCTAGTAGTCGAACCGGCGTATTCATAACGTACAAGCTTCACATCAGAGCTCTTGTTACGTACTGTACCAGATAATGAGTGAGAGTGCATACATACCATCATGCTGAATTTCACTTCGAACGTAGGGCTGCACGGAAAGACACCAATTAAATGCGAGGAACATAACAGACCAGTGGATATTCAGTTCCAGATCTCTTTGTTCACAACCGAGTTCAATTGCGCTTGTTGTGTTTGTTTGTGCGAGCGCCAAGAGTTGACCGCGTCGGACTTTGTTCGGCACAATCAGGAGGACCTCGTGTCCTCCACGCGTTCAGGACTGGGTCAGCAGGTACATTGAGACATTATAGGCATGACAATAGCAATCAACAGGTAATACGGGAAAGATCAGCACGGGGATCAGCACGGTTACCGCATAAGGTAAAGGGCACAAGGGACAGGGGGGAATGGAATAACAGACACATGCCTCCCTTCCTCCACCTGCCCTTCATTAGGCACACTGGAAACCCCTCATCTGTATTTTCCTCGTCGCCTCACCCCGCATTATCAAGTCTTTACTCACGTCGATACCTAGCCTTCCAAACATTTCTCCTTACTTTATCCACGTAACAGCCTACAATGACCCAGTATGTTCCCTGGTCGTCTATCACTCTCTATGGCGCCGCGATTCCACCCGAGCGTCTCCTCATACCGGATGACTCATACATTCTCACCCGCCCCCCCAAGCATCTGCGTTGACTACCTTTCCCACAACTGGGAGGAACAAGACGTATGGGTCTCGTGGCGCAACATGACGCGGCACAAGAACGATATTGCGAACGGGGCTAGGCTCGAGAACGCTTGCTGGAGGACGTGGTGGAAGCAAAGGAACCATCTTCAGACTTGTGCACCAGAGATGCTTGGTTGGCTTAAAGATGGGGACGTGACGTGGTTGTACGGTCCGTTCCATACTGCTGCCGACCCGATCCCTGCATCCAAGAAGGCGACGTTGAGCGAGAAGTCGATGAACAAGGGGGCGAAACCCACCAAATCTATCCTGAAGCGTACAGTCGGTGATACGTTCTGGACCATCGCAAGCGCACATCTGCGGGATGCCGAGAGCGGTATTCACACTCCCGTCTCTAACACACCGAAGAGCGCGCATTCGATTCCAACAACACAGGTAAAGAATCGCTTTCCTGTGCTGGACTACTGCTGACCCAAAGTCCGACTCTGCGGCAACCAGCTCACTGCAACTCATTGATGACGAGGGCGACTCCCTTGGCTCAGCAGTACGATTTTGAACGAACACAGTCCAAACCACCAGTCGTGCGTTGTTTTCTTCAGGCGCTGAAACAATGAAAGCAGAGGGTATATGTATCTTGGAGGAGAATGCGGTAATTTGGTCGAAGTCATGGTCTTTTTGCTATGAAATCAAGATCGAATGCAGCAAAGAATGTATAAGATTGAATCCAACCAAAGAACTTATTTGAACCACATGTCCATTTACATTGTTCCGGGCGCCGAAACAATGTACGAGCTGCAGAACACCCTGACCACAAGAATGCGGGCAGAAGCACGTTTCCCACCCCTGAGTTCGGCACATCTGAGGCACAAGAAGCACCTCCCGATCTCGATAGCGTTACGCCAGCGAAGTATGCCGAAGTGCGGTTCCCGTGTATTATCTAAAAAGCCTAATACGGGCCGGCCCGCCAGCCGTTGTTCCCCGCTGACACACGCCCCACGGCACTGGAAACTTGTGCACGCTGTTGTACTCCTTTGTCGGAGGTGATCATATTCATGCACTCTTTTGCATATCCTGAGATAGGAGAGCGTCAATCACCAATTTGCGTACGTTGGCTGTGGGGGGTCACGCCGGGGTTTGTTCGGCAAGGGTGGAGGCAATGTGTAGGATAGGAGCTCCGTTGAGTCATCGCACGGCAAGACAACAACGCGTGAGATTGGAGACATGTGCGTTCAAGACCAGCCCGACACGTCACAGAATGTGACGAAGGTAAACGAATGACGGCCTCGCCTCGCCCAAGCACCCGGCACGACCCAGAGCAGTGGTACCGGTGCACATTGTCCAACCCAGCTATGTACAGTTCGGCTTCCGGCCCGGGTCCGAGTAGCCTGAGTTTGGAACTTGGGATCCAGCACAGAGGGGTACGACTCGGTTGGACTGTCAGCTTGGGGAAATGTGGTACGAGAGCTGTGGATTTTGATGTGCACACTTACCGTTCTCCGGGTAGAGGACTGTGCCGTTCGGTCGGATCCTCCCGGGTTGAATATGAAGAAAGTACGTGCCCCTGCAAGAGCATGGCAAGAGCGAGGTGTGCGTTCGCTAGGCTCGGCTGGTTACTGAACATCATCGGGTACTTGCGACTTAGCCTCGCACACACGCGGAGCGCGCGGGGATAGGCAGAACAAACGCATGGGTTGCCTACACACGTACGTATCTCGTCGGACGGAACATACCAAGCCTGCACAGCTCAGACAACAACAGCAGCTAACCTAGCGCGCTCTGGCCAGGAAAGGCAAGCGCTCGCCGGAACCGGCGGCTCGGTTCCGGCGGGAAGTTTCTTGCCTTTCTGTTGGGATTGCGGAGAGATAAGATTCTGTGGTGGAAATTAGGGTTACAGGGGAAGGCTGGGATAGGGGAGGTTTCTGCCCCCGTGGGGTGTAGGCGGGGGACGCAATGAATTGTTGAACGATGTGCGGCGCTGTGCGGCTGTCATGAGGCGAATGGGGGGCTGTACACTTTGACATGGAGGGATCAATGAACACATAGGAGGTCTGATCACAGCGCACCTGGGGTACCTGGTCAGGCGTTCCATCGCTGGACATGGCATTTGGTTGTGTGAGGAGACTCTGCTCCTTCAAGTAACACCTCAGGCTCGGCAGAGTTCATCCAAGGATGTCTCCACATCCGCGGCGAAGCGCTGAAAGCCGGTTGTACAAAGAGAGTTCGCCCCCGTGGGGTCGAACAAAGGGTGCCTGACAAGCTCAAAACCGGGTGTTGCTAAGCGGCGGTTGGGAGGCAATTTCGTGGTGATAGGGTTAAGCTTGATGAAAATATGTTAGCGAAAAAAAAGTGAGACCCAGGATAAACTAACTTCCAGACCTCAACATTGAACACCCCGTCCTGGGTCTGTTTACGACTTACTTAGGGGCTGAAATTGTCAGTCACGCGACTGGTCTAGAGCTCAATATTTCCTGTCCGTCGAGCAGGTGCCGGGGTGCTCCGTGCTGGTTTTGACAGCACGTGACGTAGATTCTGCCTGACAGGTATGTGCGTACGTTGGAGGCAGGTGACCTACAAAGAAGATAGTGAGCCGGTATTGGCCGCTTGGAAGATGGAAGACGTGACGGGCTGTCGCCCGATGCAGGTTTGTATTATACCCCTTTGGGTCAGTCCGGAGGTGCGAGGACTTGAGACGCCATCTGCAAGTGGACTTAGCGAGAGGGGCTGGCTCGGCTCCGCCCCGCAGAGCACAAGGGACAAGGACAGCAAGGGATCTTGCAAACTGATGGATATGAATCGAGCTCCGCCCGTGGCTATGCTTCTGATATCCAATCGGAAAAGTTGTGAGCGTTGGATTACATCAGGTTTTCCTAGAGTTTCGGTCCGGGGCCAATTGAGCCGGGTCAGACCGTAGGTTTTCATCGTTGGTGTTTGGGTCCCCTTGGGATCGGGGCGAAACACTCGGTCGGACGGTGCGGTTGATGTTGCCGCGGTGTTGCACCGAACGGTGTGCGAGGGTATGATCGGCCTAAGGGCTTGGTGGGGATCCTATCGGCGGGACTTGAAGAGGGTCAGCTGAGCTTCAAGGGGCGATGGCGTCGTCTTGGATACTCTTTTGCCCCAACCTGCCAACCTGGTGGACAGCCAGGGCACGAGGCGGGGAAAGAATAGGGATGAATTGGGTGAATGTTGGGCTGGATAAGTGTATGCGCGGCGGTTCAGATGACCACTGTTAGTGTGGGGGCGGTGGAAGACGTGCGAGGAGAGCAGATGGCGCACACGGCCTGGGTCTGACGCCGCGGTGACTTGGTCAACCTGCGTTGTGCGGCCTGGCTGTTTGGGGAAGGGGACAGGCAAGGGAGTCGGGCCGGGCGTATCCGGGTGCAAAAGTAGAACGGGGCCAAAGTGGCGCGGGGCAGATCGGAAGACACGAGCAGAAAGGATGGGGAGGGCGGGACGGTGCACGGACTCATGGTGCGCTCCTACGGGGGGTGTGAGGGACGTGTGTGGACAGGGTAAAAAAGGGCCGTGGGGTGGATGTTGCATATGGTCATTATGGTGTGTTGAAAGAGAGAAAGAGAGTAAGAAAGAGAGGGGGAGACCACACTGCCTTTTGAGCGGGGATTATTACCATAATTAGACTGGCGTCTACCGTGGTCTGGATTATAGAGAATCTCATCAACAGAGTCTGACCTGTTTTGCCTCCCTTTCCCCTCCTTCTCTTCTTCTGCTCTCTCCCCCCCTTTGTGCCGTTACGCTCATCGGCCGGGAGTACTTCGCTTCTTCCCTCATCCACCGGCCTGACCGCCGCAGATTCACCTCCTTGCCCCCTTCCCTTTTCCCTTTCCTTTCCCTCTTTCACCTCTCTCTCACCATCTATCAACAAATACCATCCTTCTTTCTCCAACCACCATCCTCGTGCTCAAGCGGACTTGTCATCATCCTCTTCTGCTCTTCCTCATCGCCTCTTTCTTCCACCCCGCACCGCCAATCGTCTATTGAGGAACGATAATTACCCACCCGGCGGATACCCCACTGTCTTTGTCACCACCACCCAACCCGCATACACCCCAGGACCATAGCTCACATCCCACCCAGATAGTGGCCCACGATGGCCCAGTACATCCCAGGCTCGTCCGTCACCCTCTCCGCCGCGACAAAGGCCCTCGAACGTCTCCCTGTACCCGACGACTCGGACGTGCTCACAAATGTCCCGCGTATATGCGTCGATTACCTCTCCCACGACTGGGAGGAGCAGGATGTATGGGCGTCATGGCGCAGCATGACGCGGCATAAGAACGAGATTGCGAACGGGACTAGGCTCGAGAACGCTAGTTGGAGAACATGGTGGAAACAGAGAAATCATCTCAAGACGGTCTCACCAGAGACGCTCAATTGGCTCAAGGACTCGGACGTGACGTGGTTATACGGTCCGTTACATACAGCCGCCGACCCCATCCCCCCGCCTAAAGTCGCGACACTGAGCGATAAGCTCGGCTTGGAGCCCGAAACCTCATTGAACAACAAGCGACCTATGCCCGACCGGCATTCGAGCGAGAAAACTGTGCATACGACGGCGAAGCCAACCAAACCCATCCTCAAGCAACGTACGGTCGGCGAGATGTTCCGTTCGTTCTCGACCGCGCATCTGCGAGACTCGGACAATGAGAGTGGTCATAATGTTCCCGTCGGAGGAATTGAGAGCGATAGTGATGCACACTCGATAAACGGTACCCAGGTAAATAACCGGGCTGCAGTATCCCTTTCTGGCAGACCACCGCTTGCGCACACAAAGAGTGATTCTGCGGCGACTACGCGGCGACAACTCGCTGGTGGACGACGCGCCTCTCCTGGCTCGGCAATGCACTTTGGTGCGGATTCGAGCCCCGATTCCGGCTCAAATTCCGGTACAAGCCTGCACGATGCAGGACGCACAAACGACGGGAAAAAGCACATCAGCTTCAACACATTTGTTGAGCAATGTGTTGCTTATCCGCCGGAGCAGAACGGGTCCAGTCGAAGGGACATGTTCATCGATCATGTTGGAGGGATGCGGCCTGTGGATGTGGACATGATGGACGAGGACGAGTATGATTATGCTTGGGCACAGACTCAGAGCCATGAGCGTGATGGGGGTTATGACAGGGACCACGAGGATGACGACTATCTTACCTTCAAGACAAAACGTAGGGGCAGTGAAATTGCCAATCCACCCGCCGTTGTCACATCATCTTCATCATCCGCTTCCTCGTCGCCCGCAGTCACACCTCTTGGAGCCGGTAACGCAAGGTCAACACCAAATCGCGTCGAACCGGTGCCAGCAGCCGAACAACCTCTCACAATCCGCAAGATCGCCCCAACAGTCCTCAAGTCATCAGGCAACTTCCCATCCCCGAGTCCTGCTCTCGTATGTGTCCTACCGCCAGGAGTAGTGCTCGATGGTTTCGGAGGTGCTAAGACCGGGCCATTAAGCCCCGGTTACGTGAGCCAGGGGTACGATGATCTCCCTATCCAACGATCAGAAAAGCAGCGCGATCGTGATATGCTCCTCCGTGGTGGACGCACAACATGGCGAGGGCGTTCAAGCGAGAGCCGCGCTGGTGGCAGTCCACACCTTTACACGATGGACGAAGATGACTTGGAGGACGATGACGACGCGATGCATATCGACTACTTTAGCGTGCAGCCGCAGAGTTACAGATATAGCTATGGACAGTCACCACAAGCGGACTATGGCGTAGGCCAGGAGTACATGATGGGCGGTGGAAGCAGAAATTCACGTGGTCGTCCGCAAGCAGCATATTATCCTGAGGCCGGACTTGGCGGAATCGTCGTTGCCAGCACTGGTCCGCAGAGGCGACATTCCAACGGTGCCGTCTCTGGCCGGGGGAGGAGCAATTCTGGCTCTTCTGCGCAAGCTCCAGTATCACCTCGCCTCGGGTCGAGCGGGAAGAGCATTCTCAGGGACCGCCCACTGGGGTCGAACGAGCGCCATGTTGGGCGTGCAGGGACAAGCTCACCCGTACCACCAGACAGCGATGTTCCTCGCGGGAGGAGCAGCACCAGAAGTCCACCGGACGAGCGAGATCGCGGCGGTTCCTCAGCAGTGGGGATCGTCATACCCACTGGGCCGTCAAGCGGCTCGAACAGCTCCCTCTCACCTCGTATCACACGCGGTAGGCAATCTGCTTCCACCCCCTCCCTTCGTCATGCCGCCTCTGGCCCCACAGCAACAAGTCTCCGTGCTCGTGGTCCAGGCGTGACGATCGACACGTCCTCTACGTTTTCGATCGGCGGTGCTCGCAGCTCAGGCTCCCCAACCAGCCAATCAAGCTCGCACGGCTTCCCCTCCCCAGTCGATCCCACCCCAAGTCCACCGATCAACATCCCCATGAGCGGTGGGCTGCACCGGAGTACGAGTGGATCGAATGTGCGCTTGCTCGCGGGTGAGGATGGACTGCTGAGTCGGGCGGCGGGTGCGGTCAGCAGAGGATTTGGTGCCCTCTGGGGTAGCCCGGAGACTTCCATCACTTCGGAGCGGCGGTGAGCGCATAAGATTACCCCTCCCTGCGCACGCTCCCGCTCGCGTTGCGTTTGCACCTTCCTCAGCTAAGGCCGCAGTCCTGCAAGCGCCGCCACATCAATTACACTATTCATAACTTCAATTCGCGAAGGGAAGCGCTTACACGGACCCTCCCACCCGCTGTATTCTGTCATCTTTTCGAACTGGTTATCCCGTCTATTGTAGATTGCACGTAACCTCGTCATCTCCCGCAACTATCCTTCACGACGCGACCCGAATCCTCTCCAGTAATGCCTATAACCGCCAACGACAACCGCAAGCCGCAACGTTTCGGTTTTTCATCTTTCGTCTTTGTCCTGTATGTACCTATCTTTTTGAAGCATACGCTAGTTACCGAACCGCCCGTGCTCTTTACCTCCCGTCCGGATAAGTGCGCTGGACTATTTTTTCCCTTTCTAGCATGCGTGTCACCCTTTTTCATGCGATACATTTCAGCCCCCTGGAAATTGGGGCAGTTCTTTCTCTCCCATGTTTCCCTCTGTTTGTTTTATTGTCATCCCCTTGTTTTCTTGCTCATCATATCTCTCGGTTCTGTCTGTTCTCAATGACGACCATCTTATTATCCAAAACCACCGTAATACGGCTCCACTTTCGTAAACGCCAACGCATGACATCAGCGGGTCAATATCGGCCCGATCCCCACACCTCAGAAGCCGTGAAATCGGCCCGTGGCTCACAGAGAACTCCCCACCATGTTCCAGACCATCCGTAAGTATACAGCTTCCCCGAAATCCAAGTTCCCAGATAGCGCGAGATGGATCAGAAGAAAAGGGCGGGTCAAAGGTAGATCGAGGGGCAGGTTAGGCGGAGCCCAAGTAGAAACCATCATTGTCTCACCTTTAAGACCTGATTAGAATTGCTTGTCAAGATAACAGCCATTTCCGTGCAGCTCGATTCAGAACGTTCTCGATTTGGACAGCAACCCACAGTGGACCCAACCTTGCGGCGAAACCCAACTATCTGGGGTCTCGGCATCTCACAATCAGGGAACCGTTTATTCCCTGGTCATGCTTTGTATCAATCTTATTATATTCATTGTGAAAACCGACAGAGCGAGTTTCTGATATCCGGCGTCACAGCCACCTCAGTAGACTTAGATCATCCTAGTAGCTTGAGGACTGTAAGATCAGATAATCCTACATTGCTTGTAACCCATGGTCTAGGATAATCCTCTCAGATAATCTGTGGATTATCCCCAGATAATCATGTATAATCCCAGGATGATCTGGTATCCCTCACACAACATTCAGGCAGACACTGCAATTGCTTATTTGACCACAGCACCAGTGATTCCTCCCCCTATGATACAACAGTTATGGTACATGTAGCGACATTGATCAAGATGACAGACAGGCATCGCAACTCCTCACTCTTCACTCATACTCCCACTCATCCCACCCCTTCCACTCACATCTTTGTCAATCAGAATCCCCCTCTTCCTCAAACACCTTGGGGACCTCATCCTCTCCATTTTCCCCTTTGACATCCTCCCTTGATTCCTCATCTTCATCTTCCCCTTCCTCTTCTCCAAGCTGCTCTGCCCTGGTCATGACATAAGTCAGCTTCCTCGACCATTCACTGGACCATTCATTCTGCATTTCAAGTAAGCCACACATCAATATTATAGATGTACATGCACCTTCCACAACTGAGTGCATGCCTGGATAGTGAATCTCCATTTTGTCTTTAAGAGGGCCCCAAGAACTTCATCAGACTGGCCTGGCATGTGATCCTGGCATATCATTAGGAGATCTCTTTTGGTATAGAGATAAACATACCCTTTTCTTGACTACTTCCATTGCATCCTCCTCAAGCATTTTGTCAGCCAGCAGCATGAAAACAGAGACATCTATGCTGTGCCTGTGGTCTTGTCCAATTGTTAATTTGAGATGGTAGCTAAATGTCATCAGCATTTGCAACTGCCAGCTGAATGTAGAAGACTCACCAGAATCTTCGATTATCATCAGACATATCTTCATGCCCTTCAATATCACAAGGGCTCTTCTCAATACCCTTGTTACAATGAGTATTTGTGCAGGCCTCATAGACAGCATTCCCATCCACCACCTGAATGCAGCCCTCAACATTGAAGGTGTGGATGCAGGAGCTGGTTCCAAGATTGGACTTTTGAACCTCAGGGATGGTCAGAACATTCAAGCAGGGCTCGATGTCGGTGAACAAGCCACTTCCTGTGCTATAACTGGAGGAGATATGTTGGAACGTTTGGGGATTTGATGCAAGATTATTGTACCTTTGCAAAGTCAGTAGGCTGTTCAATGAATAACCATACTATTGATGGACCAGTTCTTCAAGCTCGTGCCCTCTGCCACCTTCAGATCCTTGTCCACCTTTGTCTTCTTGTACATGTTCAGGCTGATACCATCATGCGCAGCAATGACCACCTTCTTGAGCAACAAGATTGAACCATGCTTCATGGCCATGGATGTAGCACAGTCTTTCCATAGTGCCACACACATGATGTGGGCAGAGTCGTCCACCAGCTGGACTTCCCGTCTCACCCTCTCCCCTTTGGGGTCTTCCTCCTTGCTCTTGCTCTCTCCATCCCCACTCTTCCTGGCAACCCTCTTCTTTTCAGACATTGCCTCCACTTTGCCAACATGCAGCACCACTCCTATAATGTTGACCTCAGTACCCACCTTTGTTGCCCTAAGCAGGCTGATCTTTGTCAGCTCAAGACTCAGAGGAGGGATGCTGTGGTCCTGTCATGTCATTAGTAATATCATTGTATACTTTGAATCATCACCCACCTGGAGAGGGAATTCAATCCTAGAGTTGTGGTCAACAACTGCCTCGATAGGAAGAAGCCCATTCCATAGATATTTCACTTGTGTTTCTTGCAAACAAACACTCTCCAAGTGCATCACCTGCATTGACATCAGCATCAGGCTCCAAGGGTTTCATAACTGCTTACCACTCCCACAGCTGCATTCTTCAGCAATCCATCAATTACCTCCTCCTTGAGTGTCAAGACCTTCATGGCCATCTATGGCTTGTCAATTCCATGCTAATAAGCACTATTAATGAGCTTATGCCTTCTTGACCAACAGTGTCAAGGTTAACCCTCCACCATTTTCCATGGTCTTGGGCCATGGATTTTGTATATGTGCACAAAAGCTTCCCATCCACAAAACATCTTTGTCCCAAGCTCAGACAACTTGAACTCCTTGGGATATTCGGAATCGAAGCTGGATGCCACCAATTGCCCTGTGGCCTTCTTGCCTGGCTTGGCCGTCTGTTAGGGCAACACAGGCTGACTAAGTCTGCTCACCTAAGAGTGCCAAGAGTCTAAGCAGGC